ATATAATCAAAGAAAATAATGGAAGTACAGATATTTGTTTCGTGTTAATAAGAATTTGTCATGAGAAATAAAAATATGTCGTTCGATTGAAGCCCAAGAAATTAGAATCAATATTATAACAAATCCAGCAATATCAATATAGACCTAAATGAGGCAAAATATAGATGTTGAAATTAAAGCGCATCATGGTTGCGATAATAATAAGCAAACCAAACCATATCTGTCAACTACTAGAAACGACCAATCATGAAAATTACAATAATGACATGATTATTACAACCACCATGAAGAGTTCGATTAGATAGCAGATGATAGACAACGGAACTAGAACACACTATTAACGATATTAGAAGAGAAAAATAAAGCAAAGACGAAAATCGGCATCTGAGCTGTTGTTGATTCTGAATAGTGTTTGAATACCAGAAATCGAAAATCTAGTCAACCAAAAATGTCAAATCTGTTGCTAAATAGAAAAACTTCCCTTACTATCAAATTCAATTAAAGATTCTTTTAGAAAATCGTAAAATTTTTCTCTCAAAAAGAGAAGATAATGGATACTCCGTAATAAATTTCACATTTTTATTTTCTTTCTTGGAAGTATTTAACAGTTATTTTAAATTTTGGTTTTTATGTTAGTTAAAAGAGAATTGAATTCTCTACAAAATTATCGACTTTGTTTTCGGAATCGATTTTTTGCGTCACAGTAAAGTTAGCAAGATTAACACCTACTCAGTCATATTTGTGCGAAAGTCAAAATCAACAAAAAAATTGCAGACAATTTTTAGAAACGGATGTGCTGATATTCGACATTTGTTATAATATTCTACACAAAATTCTGCATCTTTCAATGTGACTTTCAAAGTGTTAGAACAAATATTTGAGAGGAAAAATTTCGAAATAGAAAATATTGAAGTAAAGAAAAAAAGCAAGTTCTGGACAAAACTGAGCTATTGTTTTCGACTGATTTAAATTAGCCTAAATGTTTCAACTGTTCAAGTGAATACATGCATCATTTTGTTCAGAATTTAATTATGTATCCGATGGTACGAGAATCAGGATTTTATAGGACGAGTCTGACTTATGATAAGGCAATTTTTTATAATGCACCAAAAAAACTACCCTCAGATATTAGTTCGGAACTTCTATTCTCGTGGAAAAGACACTTAGAATTATTCTAAGGTCGTGAGCATATAGAGCGAAAAATTCTCTCTCTTTTGGTGTGCAATACTTTGCTTTTAGCATCGCTTTTGTTGAACACACGCTTACACAAATTGTTTTTTATCTGAATGTTAAATACCTCAAAGATAGAAAATAAAAGTGGAAAATGCATTATAAGGCGCCCATTATTTTTAGAAAAAAATTTCCCAGAACTTTCGCTCACGCACATGTGTAGATTCTGCATCTCTGTTAAAATATCTTCGATTCATTTTTCTTTTTCATTATAGATTTGAATCTCAAAAGTAGACAAACAGATTTAAAAGTTATTATGTTGTAATACTTCAATTATATTCAATACATATTATGCTTTAGTTATATTTTTTCCAATGTTTACTGATAATTTTATATTCATCTAGTGTTAAATATTATTTCACATTAATAAATATTAATTTTTTGCATTGACGCAAAGTTTTTATACATAGACTAACTTTTATATGATAATAGTAACATATTTGTCGATAATAATCATACGAGTTGATAATGCATGTTAATTGACATGCTAATGATTGAAATTTTTTTCATGAGGATTGTCAATTAAGAACACTGTTAAACAATATATTCCTGCAAATGGAACATTCGTCATATATTATGTTAATACAGAACACAATCTAGTATAAAATGAGTATACGCTAGAATATTTACACATATCGATATCTCCAAGATTCATTCTAATAACCATGAACAATAGTTATTCTTCATTTTCTTCCAACGATTATTCTTTTGAACATTATACACCATCAATACCGACATACGTTTATCCAACATCGTTTACTCCATGTCCTGTTCATTCGCCTCATCTATTCTACTCATCTTCAACACAATCGATGAATATGTCTCCTGTTTCATATTCGTATTATCCACAACAACCGCAAGTATTCTCTAATCCTGAACAAAGATGTAAGTATTAGATGTTTTCTAAATAAATCAACAAGTTTTAGTATATAAAAAGAACTAGCATTTCATGTTTCCTATCTGCATTTCTTTCTTTCTATTCTTATAGATACTAATACCTCAACTAGTACTGACCACACACCACTTCGTCGACATCAATGCTTCAAAAAACATGAACTTCAAATACTTCATCAAACCTATATTCAAGATGCGTATCCATCCATCGATGTTCTTCAACAATTAGCTACACAATTAAATGTTTCTATGGAGAAAGTTCGTGTAAGTTGATGTTTATTTTACCGAGTCAACCATATGATTCTTTATCTTTTTGTTTTTCTTGTAGCAATGGTTCAAGAATCGACGTCATAGTGATAAGCAGAAGAAGCGAACAACTACATAAACATTGAGAATGACTGCAACAAAAAAAATATTTCTGTTCGTTTTTATTTCTAATTTATTGTTCTAAAATAAAATTTATATGGTTAGCTAGCTTCTGAATCTATTCCTCATTGAAACTGAAATTTGAAGTTGAAAGAAAAAATTGCGAAAGAATAAGGTTATGATTTTTGTATATTACCAATAAATGTTTCACAAAACAACGAGAATTATATATTTACCATGCAAAATAAAAAAAAAAATACAGAAAAAATAGAATAATTAAGTAACCAAACAAAACATAGCTTATGATAAACATAAAAAGTGAAAAACAACTGTAAGAAAAAGTCAAAAAAAAACAGAAATAAAAATATAAACATTCCTGAGCATGGACCTTATGCAAAATACAATTGATACGAAAAATGATATTGATGAGAAAAGACATTGAAGACAAAGGCGATGAAAAAATAAAAAAGACTTCGAAGTTGTATCAATGTTGTACAACGACTTTTGTCAAATGTTCACCCATGAGTCGAATTCCATTAAGTACATGTACGAGATGAAGAATTAACAGTAAGCAGATTAGAAAATATTCATATATATATATATATTCTATTTGACGAAGAGTCATCGCATGTATTGCTCACAAAATCTCCAATATCAATTAGATAATTATTCAACTCATACAATAGTTAAAAAAACAGATATCTTTGCAAACTCTAAGTCTACTGATATAATGTGCAAAAATTGGTTTTGTACTCATCGGACAGTGTGCGGATGGACACTATTAGCATCAACCAAAAAAAGGTCACAGAACAAAGTCAGCAGAAGTTAAAGATACCACAGTGGCACAAAGAAAACAGTTTGGATACATAAACATCCCATGATTCTCAAAAGCAGAACTGGTAACTATGCTATCGTCGCCCTTCAAAATAAGAAAAATATTAATCAGACAAAGTTAAAATATACGCAATCTCTATTTGCTAGTTCGTGTCATTTTGCACTGATGAAAGTATCAACAAACCAATACCTTGAGTTCGATGAACAAGTTCACCTGGTTTTTAATCATCAACACAGATAAAACCGATGTAATGAAGTGGTAATGTGTCAATGAACACTGGCAAACATGTCCATTAATATGGTTTGCTTCTAACTAGTCGTTGGCCGACATAAATACAATACTCATTAACTATGTCAAAAAGAACAGTATATAACCGTAAGTCTTTAATAAGCTAAGTAAAACTTTTGGATTGGTTACTGAGTAACAATAACTTTTCTTTCAAAATTATAAAAGATGAACCATGAATGGAAATTTATCCATTTCATAATGGATTGATATAATTGAAAAATCTTTAGCAAAGACAGCACGTTAACCATCGAAAACTCACCGAACATCAGGCATTGGCAAAGGATCAGTATTTTCAGAAATGATACTTAATTTTAGTAACGATGAGATATACACATATGGACTATTGAAAAGAATTGTTGAACGGTGCTTAGTTAAAACGGTATATTGAGCACAAAAATCAAATTAAAAACAATGATCATCGATAATTTGCATATGATTCATATAAACAGATTGTTAGCTATCAATGCTATTTGTTCTCTTTTTTCATTTTACCAAATAGAATTTTGTCATGACGGGATCATGCTCATAAAAGGCATATTGAAAGTGTTTTTAAGGATGCAATACACTTTTACATTTTGTTTTTTGAAACAGATGCTCTCAAAAGTTATTATTAAATGCTAATTAAAGCTGGGTTTTAGTTTTTCAATTTTGTAAAATAAATCAATATTAGGAAATGTCTTGTAAATCAAAAATGATAGTTATGCTTTTAATTGCAATAGTATGTATTTTTTAGATATTTCACTCATTAAAGAATCCTTTAATTTGAAAAAAACTTTTGTCCCATCTTCAAAAGGTCATATGCAAATACTCCGTCAATATGAGATTTGGCTTTGATTCGACGTTGCCAGATATATATTTAAAATCAAACGTGTAAATAACAAGAATAAATTCAATCATTTTTTATATTACAGAAATT